ACAATATATCAACTTTGTGCACTAGTATCTCTAGCTGCCTGGCGGTGTGGCGACACTGTCGTTCGTTCGCATGACGCGTCGATGCCCGTCAAATGGATGGTAACGCTCTCTAGTCAAAACCTCATTTTATGGCCTTTGACGAGTAGCTCTGGGATGTACAAAGTCGAGGCAAGACGTGCGTGGACAGCAATAGTATTGTCGTAGCGACCTTCACTACAATAAAAAGCCTCAACGTTGAAAGATGGATTGAGCCCTTTTTGAGTTCCTTTTCGGTGTTTTGATGTCTTTTTTTCGAGGTATTATTCAGCGATGTTCAAGACAACACGACAAGCCAGCCTGATATCACCACGTCACTGGACGAGTGCCTCGTGCTGCTGCCATGCTTCGTCGTCGGACGCGCATCTCTACGTGGAGTAAGCAGGGTGATATGAGGTACGTAATGGCGATCCCTATCAACTTGGTCGTACACTGTCCCTCTGCCTTGGCGCGACCCATCGTCCACTGCGCTTAGCTCATGCTAATGTAGCAACGCGTCGAGAAGAAGACGGAGGAAAGCCCTTTCAGGGGGTTAAATAGGAGGTCGAGACTAGATGTAAAAACTATCTTTGGAGCGCGGTTTGACGTTCAGGGGGCTCACCATGCGATCGACGTAGCTGTTAGCGAGGTTGGTCGACGGCGTGCGCTCGCTGCCCGTCTCGGTGCTTCGGTGCAGTTGCATCTCGGACGCCCGCTCCGTCCGCAAAAAGAGCCACGGGTCGTTGTTGACGCTCGAGATCGTGTCGACCGACGACGACGACCAGACGCCGTTGGGGCCGTGCGTCGCACTCACGTGGTGGTGGGCCCAGGGGCCGGCGACTTCATCCTGTTCGTCTTGAAGGATCGAGAACGTTGGAATGTACTTGGGCGTCGACGTCATGTCGAGTGCAATGGGCTCGGGCTTGCGTTCGTGCGGCGACCGCACCGGCGTCTCGATTGGAGGTGGGCGCGGGCGCTGGCTCTTCCGCGGGTAGTACTTGCGTCGGTAGTGCAGCGTGATGAGCCCCATGAACGTTCCGAGGGTGCCGGCGACGATGAAGAAGAGGACCTGTGGCGGAAACGCCGGCGACGTATGCAGCGCTTCGTCACCGCTATTGCTTGGCGCAGCGTCGGCCACAATGACGTCACAGACGACCCGCGCCGTGCGCTGGGGCTGGCACTCGGGCGGCAGGAGGCGCTGGCACGACCACGAGCCGTTCGCGGCGTCCGACGCGATCGCGCACGGCTGGCACGAGGCGCACGAAGCGTTGAGTGGCACGGATGCGCAGACGACGTCGCACGCCACGGCGCCCACCGACGCTATGAGGTGGCACACGACGACGACGACGGCGACGCTCCACTGCAGCATCGGGACCGGCGGACGGGCAGATTGGTTGTATCTTGCCAATTCCACCAATGGCAAAGTGGCAACCAGTCGGTCCACGGATGGCGTTACGCGAAAGGCTGTTACGGGGCGCTTGACACGACGGGGCACGGCGCGGCGACTAAGGCCGACGTCCGAGCCTCCGATATGCCATGCATTAGTGTCGGCATTATCTCGGACGACTTGTACACGCCGGTGTCGACCGGTCCGCGATCGACGCCGTGCAGCGGGTGAGCAGCATCGGGCCGGGCAAGGTTGCCATCATCTTTGCTGCGACACGGTTTCGAAGAACCGGCTATCCGGATAGGCCGCGCGGCCGGCGCCATCGACAGGCACCGCCGTGCTCGGCGCACGCACGACGAGGCATGGAACGTCCACGAAGCCATTGCGTTCGATCGGCGCCGGCTCGTGGCGACGGCAGCGTCGCTGCGCCCAGCAAACAACTGACCTTCCAGCGCCCACCGTCGTCGTCCGTTCCTCAGAGGTCAGAGGCGCCACGCACCACACTTTATTGCCGGCCAAGCACTGGTCCAGACCGCCGAGAGTTATCCGGATGCAAAATCCACTGAAAAAGTGACGTGGCGCCATGCCATGCGAGATGCCACGTCGGCGCTCCACGCTGGACGTGTGAAAACCACGAGCGCTCGAGACGACAGATTACGAGACTGTGATGCTGTGTGGGTAGAGACACAAGGGTGCCATGCAACACCACGGTGACGCACTACTCCTTCCCGTCGCGTCTCCGTATCAGCTCATTGTACGGAAGCGCGAATGAGTCTCGGGCAGGCACGGACTGAAGTTAGTGATCGTGGATGACATACTTTAGACGACATGTCTAGGTGTGCGATACGACGAAGGGTGGGAGATCTGTGCATACCAACCATCCACGAGGCGCCGTTAAGTGCGCGGAGACGATCTTCATCAAGTCGCTCCCCATGAATGAAGGACTCAACGGTATACTAGGGACGTTTTCTCGATAAGATTTTGCAACTAAGAATGGCCGAGTCTACACGCTGCTTCAGATAGTACACGTTTTCATGACATTTGTGTACTTCGGGCGATACCACCACCGTCGGTGTGGTCTTGCCAATCACGCAACTTGGACTTGTTGATTTAAATAAGACAGAGTAATAGATAGTCACCGACAGAGACACACACACGATGCAACTCACAAACGGGGAACGCTCGTCGTCTCGGGCGGCGCGTAGACGCCAGTCAGATCGAAGAAGTCGTCGTCGCGCGTGAACGTGGCCGTGTCCCGCATCATGACGACGCTCTGGGACAGCGCCATGTCCGAGCAGTTGGACGAACTCAAGTCGTGCTCCTTAAAGACCCACGGATCGACGCTCGACGACGTGACTGTGTCCAAGTACGACGCGTTTGAGCTCTTGGGTACCTTGCTTAGCCCGGACGCGAAGAGCGAGTACTTGCGCGCCCAGACTTCGGGCGTCGGCGACCGCAGTGTGTCGTGCAACGTCGGCTGGTACGGACGCCGGGTCGATCCCACGAGGCTGAACGCCGAGCTTTGGTGGGCTTGCTGCTTTTGTGCTACCTTGCACCGGTACCACAAGACAATGACAACGATAATGACGACGAGCATGCCCGCGGCGGCACCGAGGGCGACGATCGTCGATGACGACGACGACGTAGTGTCGGGCGTCGCGATGGGTGGCGGTGGCTCGCTGGTCGACACTGGCGCCACGATGCGTGTGGTCGTGTTGAGAGTGGTGGTCGTCTTTTCGCCAAGGAGACCCGCGGTATGGTTGTGCCGGACCACACATAGAGTTCCATGAAGCAGCGTTGCGCACTGCGCCGCTGGCATGTACAAACAGGTCGTCGCGCGCGTTGATGCATTCGTGGTGTACGTGCACGGCGTGTCGGCGGCGGCGGTCGCGACACCGAGGCAGGCGACCGTGCAGTCGGGCGACGCCGTCGCTACGTCACAAGGTGAGGCCATAGCTGTCGATCGCACGACGTACCGGCGACGGCGGCGACGAGAAGGCATAGGACCATGACATGTAGGCGGCCCATGGTGGCTTCAAAGATGCTGCTGCGAGAGCCCGTCGTCTGCGCAACTTACGACTGTGCGACATGCCGATTGGCCGTCCCTGTCAAGCGTGCATTGCATACGTCGTGCACTATGCGTTTTGAGAGGTTTGCATCGCTCCGCTCAAGGTGACAGGTCGGCTGCGTTCTGCACGCAGTGCTGTGTGTTTCTATCAACAAAAGTGACAACGAGATTAGTTACTGCGACCGCCACAGTCTGCGAGCGTCATGCCCGCGACGGCGGCGAGATGCATGCGTACAGTGTACGAGGGTGCGACAACTATCCATGAGCGACTGCAGCAGGACGGATGGGTCGATGACTGCGACAGCATCGTCGGATGCGTTTCGGTGATTGTTCAGTCGGTCACGGCCGCTATCGCAAGTCCACCAAGGCGGCTACATAGACTCTACGACCATCGCCTTGCACCTTCAATGGTGCAAGCGTGACGTGAAAACGAGCGAGCGTTGGTACGCTGGACGCCATTGCCCGATCGCGCCCATCCCGGCCACCGCAAGACCTATTTGTGTGGGAGCCCGGCACAATACCAAGCCGAATGCAAGAAATACGACACTGCGACCGCTGCAGCACGCAGGTCCTAGTAGCGAGGCGTACGTAATGATGAGGTGCAATGATTTTTGTGCCGTGGTCCACCGCAAGGGCGCGTCTATGGGGTGGTATCTGTGGCGGGTCAGCTCCTTGAAACGAAGTCGTTGCCAACACCAAACCTTTTATCAGTTGATCGCCCCGGACAACGTCGAAGTGGCATCCTGTAACCTTGACAAGAGAACCTTCGCCATTGACAAGTACTACCAAGCAAGTGATGCTGACAAGTGGTTAGGGCTCATTGCACGGGCAGGTCTATGCCCGATTCCATGTGTACAGTGTGGTTTTGGCTCGGCCTGTGTCCTTTGGCTGGTCCACTAGAGCGTCTTCATCACTTGGAATCTCAAGGCTTCGATTGGACTTGTACATGGCTCTACCACCGCCTTTCTTCCGCACATAACGCCCGTAGCCCTTCAACGCCCAACAGTATATACTCGAGCCAGACGCACATCGACTTTGAATCTGGTGCGCCGTATCACAATGCATCGGCGCGACGGTAACGTTGTTGTCGCCATAGCCCCGCGCTGTTGCACGCCAGCATTGCGCCGCAGACACGCTCCCAGCGCCGTGGACACGCACGTCGAGCTTGACAGAGAATTTGCAATAAAATCGCTCGCTCATTGCTGTGCGGAAACCTCGAATGGGCACCACGTTGAGCCTCGTGTACCGCGACTGCAAAGCGCCATACCGCCACGAAGCGTTCCGGCGCGACAAGCACCACTACATGACGACGATCGACGTCCAGCGCGCAGCGGCCGCGCGACTCCGGGCTATCACGTGCCGTTCATATAGGCTTCGACTTGTGCTCGCATGCGCCGTGGTGGTGTCGCTCTGCTGTTTGCCGTGGCCATGGGAGCTCAAGCACGTGATCTATCGCCTCGCGCTCGGCGGGGTAGTGTGGGTCCTACTAGATCAGCTCGACGAGTTCTTTACGTTTCGTGTCGAGCTGTGGCGGACGTCGGCAACGGCCTTTCTCACCAGGCGCGAACTCCGGCATGCTGCGGAAACGTCAATGCGCCAACTCATTGTAAGCCGGTCGCCGCTACCACCCGTGGGCGAGCCAGGCGTTCGAGTGCGTCGCGCGCTGACTCTGTAGCCCAAGGCGACCTTGGACATGGACTTGGTGACGCGTGAAGACAAAGCGTCGATGTTAAATTAGTAAAATAAGAGTGTTAGAGATGCACGGGGGGGCGCGACGACGACGACGGCGTGTCGAGCGCGCCGTGTCGACTGGACTTGCTCGACTTGCTGGATTTGCCGCTCAAGAACACGTTGTTTAGAAACGTCGGGTGCTCCCACCACATGCGTGTTGAGTGGAGAGCTACGTGGCTCGGTCCCACGCTGTCTTCGTTGGCCTTGTCATGTTGCACCGTAAACTGCGGCAACGGTGTTCGCGCCGCGCGCCGGGCTTCTTGGCGCCACCGCTGCACCTTCCACGCTGCCGTCGCCAGCGCCACGACTGCCAACGCCGCAATGACAGCGATGCAGACCGCCGACTTTGTGTCCAACGACGACTGCCCGGCGGCGGCCGTTGCAACCATGTCGGCGGTTGTCGGTCCCGGTGTCGAAGGCTCACGTGTTGTTGTACTGGGGGTCGTTGTGTTGGGTAACAACGTGGTCGTGTTGCTCGGGATCGGTAAGGGCACAGCCGACCGATTGGTCGGCGTTTCGGTGGTGGAGTTATTGGTTGCTAGGACATTGGCCGCGGCCACGCAGTCGGGCAGGGCGTCCGTGCAGCGTAAAACCATCAGCGTATCGTTGCAATGGCCGGTCGTCGCCGACAGAAGGCAGTTGCCACGCACTGATTTGCACTCGAGGATGCCCGTCGTGTAGCGAAAGGCGCCGTAGCCGCGCGGCAGTTGCACGCATTGCCACGGCGTCGTCGTCGTCGTCGTGGCGTCGACGATGGCGTTTGTGAGGAGTACGAGCACACCGCTAAGGCAACTGCGCCGCAGCATGAAAGATGACCAACAGCAAGTGAAATGACAACTGAAGAACGTTGCACCAGAGATAGGGCCACCTGCTGCGTGCGAGAATGAGACCTGAAACCAGCCTGCGCCGTTTTCTAGTGTAACGGCGACTAAACCAAATCAGATGGTCTACTTCAATGTCCTATGCTGAGGATTGTCGACTGTTTCGACAAGAGCCGGTCGTTCGTTCGTGTGTTTCAAGGCACCAAGCAAACAAGACTGGGCTTGCTAGAAGAAACCTAGAACCGTTTGCAGCTCCAGCATCAGCGGATGCATTTTCGATACGTTGTCTGTTGCTACGCTTTTTAAAGCGTAGCGAGCTCGACTTGCGAGAGGCGCGCCGTGATAGTGCAACCCTGCTTGCAATGTTTGGCGGACCGGAAACGACATATCCGCCGACTCTTTGCTGGCTCAAAACCGAATCTTCACATGTCGTACATGCATGTAGTTGCCGCTAGTATGCCAGCTTTGAACTGCGACGGACCCTCCAAAATTACAGAAAACAAGCCAGAACCAACCACCTCGGGCGTGTCGTCCACTTGCGAAATGCTGGCGAATATCGTGCTCGCATGCAATGTCCCCAGACGCATGGCAGTACTGTCGATGCCAAAGACGTACGGAGCATTCGTGGCGGCGTCGTCGACACTCGCTCAACCCAGTAGAGTCTTCTTGACACGAGTGCAGACGTTACAGCACGCGTGCATCGGCAAAGTAGCTTCAGAAAAGAACCCCGAGTGTTCTGTTCGAAATGCGCCGCTGGCCGATCTCAACCGTTTTGTCAGAGGCCAAGACGCGCACACTTGGAGATGGTTGCCCTCCGCTCGATGACACGTTGAGCGCTCCACCGCAGATACGTTTCCTGACAAAGCTCGGGTCCACCATGTCTTGCACTCCACGCCGTCACGAGGAGTCGACGCGATGCCCCCTTGAGATATGCCATTTCCACATCTTATTTGCACTTTCCACATCTTATTTGCACTTTGCAAAACTGAGTTTGCACTTCGCAAAACTGAGTTTGCACTTTTCAAGATTGCATTTGCACATTTCAAAAATGCGTTTGCACTTTGCAAAATGGAGTTTGCACGTTTCGGTTCGAGTGGGCACTGGACAAACGCATTGGTTCTATCGACAGTATAAATAATAGTTTATGAGGACGCGGTTCTCGACTAGATGATGTGCTGGGCGTCAATCATTGTCATGTTGGAGATGCGCGTCCGCATGCTCTCAAAGCAAACGCCGTCTTCGACCGAATCGTGGTTGCTGTTGAACGTCGCGTTGCTATTGAACGTGTCGTTGGGTCGCCGCATCGTCGCAATCTCCTCGTCTGCTTCGTCAAAGACGTGGAACGGCACGTTGACGACCGCGGGCTTGGACCCGCGCTCGAGCAGCGTCCCGTTGTTGTTCATCGTGTTGGTCGACGACAAGCTCAGGAGGCTCATGCCCCGGAACGTGTCGAGGGGCCGGCCACGCGTGAGCACAGGATCGGACCGCGTGCTGTAAAACTTGGCCATCGACGGGCGGTAGCTGTCGAGCATCGCGATACCGTCCTTCGAGTCGGCGCTGAGCCGCGGCGCATCGTCGATGGCTTCCGTCTGCCGGTACATGCGCCGCGCCAAGAGGATGCCTGCAATCAAAAATGTTGCCCACACGGAGACGCCAACGTAATTTTTCAGCGACGACGACGACGCATCGTCCGTCGATGCCGTCGACGCGGTCGTGGGCGATGGCGAGACGATCATCGTCGCGTTGTTGGCCGGTGTTGGTGACGACGTGACGACGACGGGTGTTCCGGGGCCATCGGCGTTGAGTGCCGGGCTTTGGGTTTCGTTGCGTGAGGTGCGCAGTGGCACAATGGCCGGTGTCGCCGTCGGTGCCGACGCCGGCGGCGTGCACTTGGTGCCAAGGAGACACTCGGCCTTGGCGATGCCTTCGGTGAGGCTGTTGAGTGCGTCAACGCATCGCGTGTCGTTGGCGCCCAAGGCGACGAGGCAGATGGGGCAGGCATGTGTGGCGCGGGCGCAGAGCTCGCCCGAGAGGAGGCGGCAGGTCGGCGTTGAGCAGATCGTGCTCTCGGCGGCACCTAGCTCGAGACAGCACCATACTACAGTCGCGACCGTACATCACTCAGTGCCACGGGCGTAAAGAGGTCATACCGAGAACGATGGCGAAGAGGCGCCGGAGCATCGTGGGCGCTGCGGGCGGTCGTTCGTGGTCGTGCTGTGCTTGATGCTGAAGTGCGTTCGATGCATCATCCACCTGTCGCAGCCTCTCTACCTCGCTGGCTCCCCACGCCCTTTTGCCCATCACCAGGCGCCATCTGGTCGCGCTGGGAGATACCTCCGTTTTACACCAGTTTATCCCAGTTTTACATTCTCACTGGTGGGCACTCGTTCGCTGCACAGGCTAGCGCGCGACAATGAGGCAGTCTCAACTACCGGGATGATGCTTTGGTGTGCCAGCATAGCGCAGTGCCCTTGGTGCGGCTGCGCAGTCGCAGTGGTCGCATCGGACTCGGAGATGGCCCTGGCGTGCAATGCTGGAGCGGCCTGTATGTGAAAAACCCCGAGCTGTGGGGTAAATCCCAAATGGCGTGTTGGAGTCGGAGCGTGACCAACCTGCAATTCTCAGAGGAATTACCGAAACTACGACAACCGTGTGAATCATTTCTCGGACACGCGCCAGCTCCAAGTGCAAACTCACACGGCGCCAGGATCACTAACATTCGTCGACAGCTTTCGTCGACTGAATTTCAGACTCGTTAATGGCTGGCTAGGACGTATACCAGTGACTGGCTCGTACACGCACAGCTGGCTGCAATAGATCCCGCGATCTTGAGCTCAACGACGCTCCCGTCGCCTCTCGAAAGGTATAAAGGGAAAGACAACGAAGGGACCACGCACGTGGAAGGAATGTTCAGTGATAGTACCATGCGTACAGTTGTCGTCGATGGAAACGAGCCGACCGCAGCCTGCCCCACGCAGCAGGTAGCAAAAACGAATCACTTACAATGAACTATACGAGATCGTAGTTCGAAGGTTGTGTATTTAAAAACAAATCTGCGTGGATTTAGCACTAGGAATATCAAATAACCTGATCACGTCTATGGAAACGCCACTTAAAATTTGGACAAGCCATAACATCGCCAAACACGAGCGTATCCGACAAAATGTTGATACCATTATGATCTCAAGACATTAAATATCATGCGCCACACAACAACGAACTAGTTTCTTCATTAGTCTTGAAGGGTTTGCATTTGACGCATTTGGAAGTGAATTTGGGAGATGTGGCATATACAATTCTAAGCGCACCCAACCGACATCGCTGCGAATGGACCCAATTTGGACAGGCAATAAATTCATAAATACGTCGAACTGCACGATGCAATGGGGCTTAGCCAGCTTAGAAAAGCATGAATATCATGTGTAGTACAACGCCAGCCTCCAGCTATATGATTTACGCCTTCATTGGGGGCCATGAAGACAACCATAAAAACCTTTATTTTTGTATCGAATAGTGGTAACCAGCTTATACATGCATTCTTAGTGCTGTCTATGCGAACTTCGATTCATACAAATATCAAGTTACGACAGTCGGTCGTTTTTGCTACCTGCTGCCCCACGCTCGTGTCGCTGGCTGAGGTGCGACGCAAACCCCAATGTCCAAGTGTTTCGTGCGAGACGATGACCTCGCACCACGTGCTATCAACCAACGAAGCTTGGAATCATATCATGGCGCAGCCTGGGAGGCGGGCAGTTGTGGTGGCGACAGCGTTGGGCACGGCTTGGTGGCATGCATTTCACACGTTTTTCACATGATCATGTGTGGTATTCCACACGTACACCACGGCGACCTCAACAACGTGCGTGCCGCCCATGCAGCAACCAGTGGACCAACGACAGCAGTAACTGCGCTGGAGCTTCGTTCCAGTAGTGGGATTCGCCCGCAAAAGGTCCATCCAAGTCCATCGGTGGCTGTCCATAGCCCAAACGATTTGTACGGTACAGTACTGTACATAGACCGTCCCAGAATACAGCAATCAGTCCTGTAGCCAGCCGCAGTTTGGCTGCATCGTCGTCTCACACGTCGTTGTGCATTCGAGTGCAGCGCATTCGAGTGTTAGCCATCCGGCACAGAGGGGTCACCAACATAGTCGGCGCTATCGCAGTACCAAACGTGGTTGACGCGCCTCAAACCGTGCGATCGCGGGACCACTCTACCTATGCTCACAACGGGGCTTTTGGGGGGTGTAAAACATCATGTAGGTATGCACAGCTTGCCCTACTACAACTCAATTGGGGTCCATCGCTTGATAATGCTCCTTGTCGAGTGCTTTGCGATACTTGTATGGTCCTAACCACCAGCGTGCCACGTCATTCAGGCTCCAAAATCCACCAATCACAGATGTGCATGACGAGCAGTCACCTCGCGCCAGATCCATTGTTTGGTGAAAACGATACCAATCGATGGACTCAACTTCTGACGCGAGGATATATAACGACGAGCCTCGCTCGCCGACGGGGCAGCTTTTTGCGCGACACGCTGCTTCCTGCCACTGGCTGTAGTACAGTTTACTGTTCTCACATTGTGAATGATACGAGTTGCAAGTGCGCCAATGAGCAAGTCTATCACCTCGTAAGCTTGTGCTGCGACGTGGTGTGGGGCACGATGCTGCGCGGTTACCACGAATGATCCAGCAACCATCGTTCCTGTGCAGTGAATGCACTCACCAGATGACATCGGTGTGTGGCCGCTCGCCAGCGCGACATCACTCGAGTCTGGACAGGTTGCCTACGACAAATCTATTTCGCACTCACCATTTTTTGCAAATCAGACATCTTGGCAAGATATCTCCAGTGTTTTTGAAAGCCGCATCGTCGTCCATTCTCCCCCTATGTACCGTGCAATGGTGGGTAAAATCATCGTCGAGCAGGATGTCTCGATGCATCTGATGTATCTTGACGTTTGGAATGCACTTGGTGATCGGCACTATATCAACCCGCGTCGTGCGTCGCTGACAGCAGATGCATTCGCAGAGAGGCGACCGCGAAATTCGCCAACGGCTGCAGTCGGAAGACGACAAAAGTGTCTCGGTCTGCGACCACGCGAATGACGCAGTGTCGTTTATAGCCACAAACTTTCGTCCTAGACCAACCTCTGCAAAGTGCAGGTGACCTACAGAAAACCGGTCACCCCGTGACTGGAATTCGCTTACAAAGTATGCTCAACTTCAAGCTGCGATAAGAACCACTTTTGACGCCATGGTCGTCATATTGGCCGAAAATGGATTACTCCATACTAGTCGAATGACGCATTCGTGTCAGCCCCGCATAGCACGTCGACGACGCTACGGTTCGCGAGGACCAGATGCGCGCGCATTTGTTCCTCTTGGGAAACCGAGTGTGAAACCGTCGTGTCGCTCTGCCACGCATCTTTGCTGCTTCATATTTCTCAGAATCAGCAGCTTCTGCAGACACACTCAACTTGAAGGCGTGTTGACGTCGAATGATCGATCTCGTTCGACCCTGGTTCGTACCCGTTCGACACTGCGATGTCCACGGCCGCGCGTTGACTCTGCGGTATGCATTTATGTGTCGGTACTACGTTGGGGAATTTACAAGATTGCAGCTGTCTCTGCCACCGCGTGGTTCCGTGCTGTCGCACTCGCGTCGTCGTCGTGGTATAAGCGAACGCCACCTGGGACACGCTGGGGGCCTCCTCAGAACCGAGAAGCCATAATTTCATTTCCGTGCCAACCACACTCCGAGTTCTGCCCGCATGCAGGCCTTTTCCCACGCCGATCTTCACTTTGCCCGCCACATGCAAGCCAAGCGGCAGGCCGATGAGCAGCGCAAGGCCGCCGAGCCCAAGGCGTCGGCGCCCGCCAAGTCGGAGCCGAAAAACTGGCGCCAAAAATACCTCCGCAAGCTCAACTTGTCCAAGACGGACGACGACAAGACGCTGCGCCGCGCCCAGTCGTGCAGTGCGCCGATCGCGATCCCGTCGGACCTCGAACGCAAGAGTTCGGGGTTGTGGTGGGAAGACGACCGCCGTAGTTCCCCGATCGTTTTCAATCGGGATGATGAGAACGCTCAAGTCGTCGACGAGTGGGACCTCGGTCTCGACGATGACAAGCCGTACCGCGCCTCGACAGGCAGTGCGATGCCACCCCGCGCGCCTTTTGTGCCGCCGCACGAGCTTGTCAAGAAAGAGACCAAGCACACGCCGGGCAACTTTCGCAAGAACGTCGTTGTCTGGATGTAGCTTGGTGCAGGACTTTCTCGTATTTAATCTTTCTCTCTATCAACATGTAGCCTTTTTATCGCAGTACACTCCGTCATGTCGGCAGCAGCCTTGGTGACAGCCAAACCATCCCGAGTGTTGGTGCTGCACTAAGAAGCACGATGACTAAGATTAGGCGATAAGAACTTGGCCATCATTCAATACGATTACTTTACGCGTTTACGCCAGCAG